TTTGCTTGTTTCACTCGTCGTAAAACGTGATTGTGTGTGACTCGTCCATAAAACAAAATCTCTTGCGCGCTTCTAAAAAAAAACAAAAAAAAAGAGGTTTCTTCATTGAATTATAAATCGCTTCGCTCCCGATATGCTCTCCTTTGTGTTTTCTGTTCTCTCATAATACACGGCAAACCGAACAACGGATAAAACGAACATACCGAGTAAAACTCACGAATCTATTTATTAAGTTCGTTTATTTGGAAACGAGGATTCAAAAGAGAAATCTGAATAACGAAAAGTTACAGCTAGCCGCGGCATAATGCGGCACAATAATCGAACCAATTTTAATCTCGTTCAAAGACCATCGGGTGTTCGTTTATAAAGGCTAGTTTTGCGTGCGCATTTTAACGTATAGATACTCGCGTGCCGGTTTCCACGCGAGATATATTCAAAAAACATCGAAGGCGCAACTCTTAACACGAGAGCCGAAATTTCGAGAGCACGGTCTATACGTGCCATTCCGATCCTATCGGACGTGTATTCAGACAGGCCGTAAGCTCTCGCGCGATTGGCCGCCTCGAGCGAGTTATAAAACTCGCACGCACTCTTGTAAGCCCTCTCTTACACACTGTGTATACGCATATTCCCTGACTGACAGCCCAACAATTTGCCAACCATTATCGGTTAAGCAAATAATGCCAAAAGCAATGACTCGGAAATGGTTCTCTCGATCTCTTACATAGAATCGTTTCTCCCTTTGTAACCAATTACGTCGTATTCGTGTGCTTGTCGAAGACCGTCCGCTGCATTCTTAAATTCAATGTACGTCAACGCCTCGAGCTGACGAGTAGCGGATAATAGCAGAACGAAGAAGACTCGTGTAAGCCTAATTGCGTGTGAGGTCCGTCTGGCGTCCGTACGCGTGTAGCTTCTCGATTGCTTTTTTTTTTTTTTGTTCACAGACGCGCATTTATAGAAATATATTCCAATCACGTAGTTGGAGTGAATTATCGCAACGCGTGACTATACGCGACGCATTCATCCGTCATCCATTTGCAGCTAATGCCCGCGGTTACCGAACCGAAGCAACTGTCGCGTCTCACAAATGTTCCTCTCTGCTTATTTCAGTAGCAATTTTATCTTTAGAATCGTTTAGAATCTATACACGAAACACGTTAAAATTTGAGCAACGTAAAAGTTTATTTCGGTGGTTCATCACCGAAACACGTATCTGCGAAGCAACCAACATCTTCTCATTATCAAAAATCAACTTAATCAAATTACCATATATAATTATTTTCTTGTTTCAAACATTTTTTCCGCTTAGTCTTCAATTTTTTTCATTTGGATGAAGAAAGCATTACTCGCGAGCGCAAGCACGAACGCGATCCGTGAGAACGCGACTCCGGGATCTCCAATAGATCGTTCGCCATCGGTTAATTCTCGGCCCACGCCAACCGAGCCGCACCTGCGATATCCTGCAATGAAACACATCAGGATCCGAACGCACAAGTTGGTTGCGCGCGATCAACTTTCTCGACCGACGAAGAGATTCCCGTAACACGTGGCGGACAATTACAGTTTTGTCGTACGCGCGCGCGCGCGGCGAGTAATACAAGGAAGAAGGAAACGAAGAGAAAAACAGAATGAGTAATGTGAGGGTAGGAGCAGCGCGCTGGCGAAATCAGATTATTGCAGCACTCGGTGCGCGCTCGGATACCGCGAACGTGGTACTTTTGCTCCTTGCTCGGTTTCTTTATTTTTGCCGTGAGATGTAATAAAGTACGAGCGAGCGGAGGGGGCTCGCGGACCCTAATCTGATATCTCGACGGAAGGGGAGCGAATATTAATGTTCGTTTGCCGCGAGCAAAGCCGATGCCGCCGCTTCGCGAACGCTTTTATGCGGTCACTACCACCACCATCACCATCACCACCACTACCATCTCCGTTGGCTCACGGGACCCACGTAATGCCCCGGCACCCCATAAAGCTAATGAGTCACGCCGGGTTCACAGGGGCCGTAGGTCTCGGGAGAAACAGGTGCCGCCATAACTACCGAGATACTCGCGCGCAACGTTCATCCCGTGCGTTAATCTTCACTCTTTTAAACTTACTGTTTGCGCTGCAAAATATTTCTATGATCTCTATTGTATCATATCAAATCTATTCTCATGTTTAAGAACAAAAAAATCACACATCATGATTTATCATAGATCATTAATTATTCAAGTGATCGAAATTTGACGTTAATTTACGTTAAACTGATATATTGCGTATTTACGGTGCTAAACTCTTTGTTGCACGCATTCGAGAATAACAGGATTATATAAACAATCGGTGCAAATTATCGCGAAGTAGATATCTTATCAAAGACTATAGCGTGTGATAAGAAAAGCACACGTTTCTTTGATCAAAATATTGTTTATCTATTGAAACTTCGTCAGAATGATTGTTAAGATATGAAATAGCGTTTAGTAGAGCTACATTAAATATTGATCTCACGCATCCCTATAAATGTTGTAGAAGGAAAAATTCTTTCAAAAATCCATGGTATTTGTCATTTTCTAACACCAAAAAAAAAAAATCGAAAATAGACTCATCTAAGTTTTTTGTAGAACAAACATTTTGACTGAATGAAAAATAAGTTTTAAAATAAGTTTCAAAATGAGTAATTAATATATAAGCACATTCTCTGCACAACATCCTGCAAACGGCTCTTACAACCCAATTTATTTCATTCATTAGTTTAAAAACTCCTGAGCCCGAAGAATCTTCTTGTTATTATTAATTAATATATCATCTAACATTATTAATATATCATCAATATATTATTGTTTCAATATTATTTATATTTTGTATGTTTTGTCTTTTTGTGCGCACATATTGATTTTGTTCGCTCTCTCAACTCAGTTTGCAATCGTTGTTCGTTCAGTGAAAAAAACCTGTGAAATTCACCGGTAGATGGAAGCACAATGTTGACAGAATCTAGTTGCTCTAAATAGCACGGATTTAAACACATTTCTATACATATATATAAAGTTAATAAATTTATATTATTTTTCTTTTTTTTTATAATAATTATATACATACACACATGTAAATTGTTTTATACTTTTATTCTCTAGTTTTAAACAATATTATCAATTATTTGTCTCTGTTCAAATTGCAAAAAATAGAACATGATTATATACTCTCAAAAAAATAAATACTGTTAGTCGCATAGCAGTAATGCATCACATTCCTCGATTTTTCCCAGCTTATCTTCTTCAACGTTACCGCCACCCCCACACGATTTTCTGGAACGCGCTCTACCTCGAGACCCACGCGCCTGTACAGCCCGAGTGCTTCAAGCCGAATGACGATCACACCCCCACCATCTACGCGGGCGACGCGCGCGGCACGCTCGTCCTCGACCGAGACCGATGGTGGGGACTTGTCTGGCCCAATCGGCGCGGTTTTGTCGTACGCCGCGTCGAATCCCGGTCGTGTGATTCGCGGGGCGCCTTACCTACGTCTTTCTCCGCGTAAGCAGGTAGGTGAAGCTGCCTGCGCTGTCTTTGTCAGCTTTCAGGTTTAATTCTCTTTCTCTTTCTGTTGTCCCCGGTATCGAGCTGGCGGTATTTCTCTCTTCTTCTCTTATTCGCATTTAAACCGTTCTACTCTTCTCATGCGCATGAACACAAGTCTCTGGAGAGAAACCCTTGTCGCACTTCACACACATATTCTCGAGACCTGCGCGTATCTCTCTCTCTCTCTCTCTGTCTTCCCGCCGGTTTCCCGCCGTCTACCAGGATCTACTGTGATCGTGGTGTCGGGTCTCGCGGATATCGTGGGAGCAATCGTTATCATGCCACTGTTCTTTAAATGCGCGTGCTGCCAAGTTGCACCGCGTTAACAAATAAAATTTACAAGTTTTTAGAAATAATTCAGTACCACTCTTATCAAAGATAAGATGATTAAAACCACTCTTATCAAATAAGAAATAAACAAATTTATAAATTATACACTGAATTTGAAAAACTGAGGTTTACTTAGTACAGCCTACAGGCGATGTCTCTTATCAGATAGACATTACTTTACGATATTTGCGCAAAAACCTAGTTATATCCGGTTTAATCACGCGCGTACAAAGAAGATACAAGATAATTACTCGCGTGAGTATCAATTGTTCATATAGAAATTGTGTCTTACTATTATTAAAGCATCACTACTGAGGCAGGAAGGCTTTCTGCGAAGTTGTTCTCGGCAATTACTTGTGAAGTTTTAATCTCAATTATGTGCGATCTACGTAATTTTAAATTACGTAGCGTGAGAACAAAAACGTCACCTAATCGCGATATCCGGTTAAGTCGCGAATAATATTCGCACGCAGTAAGCCGCGCGCCGGTTTCCAACAGCAATCAACAAAGTAAGATCCGGCGCGAGATCGATGAGGTCGTATTTCAGTCTGCGCATACGCGCATGTATGTGTGCGACGGTCGAGATAAATACGGTGCCGTGCGTTTAATCGGTCGCCAAGTAGAAAGAGCAATTTCGAAAGGCGCACTCACACGGGGAGGGAGTACGAGGCACGTGCCGGAGCTATGCGCGTGCGTCAGTCCATCGTACTCCGCACACGGTGGCACTCGGCTATTTTCGAGGAACGTGATATAAGCCCCGATGACGTCCGCGCGACCGGCCGCGTACGCGCGTCCGCATCGGAATTACCATCACCAAGATCGGCCTATGCTAACGCGCTCAGTCAGTCGGCCAGTCAGTTCTAACGACCTTTGCAAGCGGCAAAGATTAATCTCCGATCCGTGGAAATGTTCTATCTCATTGTTTCTCATTCTGGGCGCAGCGTATAGGATTATATATTCCTCTTACGAACTTATGCAAACACACACAGCGTCGTCACGGATAAATATAATGAAGTTGAGATCATCTGTGTCACATGTCACATATTTGGGAATTTGAAATTTATGTGTAATATATATAATGCTTTATAAATTTAATTATACTAGATATACATTTAATGACCGCAATAAAGTTTCTAAGAGATTGTTATACAAAAAACTATACATAATTTACCTCAATGCATTATTTGCAAAATTTAAACGCTATGCGTAGCTATCAAAAAGCCGCCGAACCAAAGTCGCAAAAGGGCAATCGGAAATTCCATCGGGAATCACCGACGTCAATCTCTCGCTGGCAAAGTCTAATCGATCGGCTTCGAAGGGGTCTGAAGGGGATCTCGAAGGGGGTCCGAGTCGATGCGCGCGCCATAGAGGGGACCGAAGTATTCAGAGTGGGGGCCTTAAAGACACGGGTGCCGTCCGACTGTCGGAATTTGGTGGTAGGGGTATCGCAGGTTGGAGCGTCACGCGCTGGGTCTCCCCACTCATTCGTTTGCCACTGAATAACCCCCACCAAAGAAAGGGCCAGCGCCACCAGCACGAGCATTCCACCGGTGCCACGCTTCGACAGCACGGTAGAAGACGCTCAGTCGTTCTTCGAGTCAGTCGAGGTTTGAGACCCGTTGTGAACGGTCGCTTCTCTAGCGACTCGAACGCAAGAGAAGACCTCTCTGACTAGAGATCACGTACTATCTTACGAGTTCCCCTTGCAAACATCGAGTTTGAGTTCCGTAATTTCTTTCAATTTTTTTCGAGCATCGGATTGACAAGTAGAGAAAAGAAAGGAATATTCAGGAGCGCAACGAACAGTTGGATTATCAGTGAAGTGATTGACTTCAGTTCGCGCAAAGTGTGATTTCACTTAAAAAAGTTAGATAATTTGACTTGAAAAAGTTTTGCGGTTTTGTGAGAAACAGCGAATAAACAATGGTGACTGGAGTAGGTGCCACGATGCCGACGGGTGGTGTCACCGTCGGCGCTACACCGCCCGCGCAACACGTGCCTCAAGAGGCAGGTCAGGCTCCACCGCAAGCCACCCCTACAGCTACGACGACTACAAGACGATCAGGAGAAAATCGACGGGTTAGTGTCACGCATCGATATTCACGCGTCTTCTCTAATCTTGCATTAAATTTCGCGTTACTTTACACCGTTTTGAGATTCGTCTTCGACTTACTCTTTCTCTGAGAAATTAAGCTCTCACGCAACACAAGAAGAACCAACTTATTGACTAAGATAACTTATTAACAAGAATTGATTTCTAAAAAAATAAAAAAATAGCTTAGCTGATAAAATATATTGAAAGTGTGCGAGAAGAGAAAAACAGTTTGGCACATTCTCTCGTATTTTAGTGTTAGAAGTCGGATTATATTTCGATTACAAACTGTTGTGGAATTAAAAAATAAAAATCATTTATTTTAAAATGGGTCTTCAAATGTTCTAAAAATTCTAAATCAAGTAATATTAAGAATTATAATATATATGTTGTTGCATAATATGTTAAATAAAATAGTAATTTATGATTGAAAAAACTCTCATCGATACATGTTCTTGAAATGTTACATAAAGTGAACATGAATATAAATTTTTTTAAGCTATCGAGAAGAAATCGTACACCCACTTCCCCGTCGTAAACTTGTTAAAAGATCTATAAACTCAAAGCGCTTTTATATTTTTTTCCGTCGCTCTGGACCCATGTATTAAGACACTCTTTTTAACTTTGCCGACAAAGATGTTTATAGTTTTATTGATTTTTTTGTTCACAGAGCAATAAACCTATTATGGAAAAACGACGTCGAGCACGTATCAACAACAGTTTAAATGACTTGAAAACTCTTGTTCTGGAATCTATGAAAAAAGACGTATGTATCTAAATTCTATCGTAATATATTTAGAAGACAGCACTTAATATTTTTAGAAAACATATTTTTAGAAAAAACAATACGAGAAAATAAAAAAATTTTAGAATTTATAGAATTATTACTTTAGAATTTATAGAATTTGTTTAAAAAATTTGAATCATTTAAAAAAAATTGAACGTAAAAATAAGTTACTTCCGAAAACACTTAGTTTCTGACGATTTTCTGTTTGACTTTTGATCTTACAAAATACGGACATCGAGATCAAATCGTCTAATCGATTTTTTGTTTCCGTTTTTTTGATTACAGCCGGCACGGCATTCAAAGCTCGAGAAGGCTGATATTTTGGAACTGACTGTGAAACACTTGGAGAACCTTCAACGACAGCAAGTTGCTCTTGCCGCAGCGACAGATCCAAGTGTCCTCAATAAATTTCGCGCTGGCTACTCGGAGTGCGCCAACGAAGTTAACAGGTTTCCCGGTCTGGACGCTTCGGTGAAGAGACGACTAATGAGCCATTTGGCTACGTGCCTGGGTCCGATTGAAGCCAACGGCCAAACAGCGACGGCGACGCCTCAGCAGCCTGTTCAACCGGCGCCACCGACGACGCAATTACAAGTGCACATCTTGCCGCCTCAAGTCGACGCTACCCCGCGGATTCAAGTACAGCAGTCAAACGGGATTTTCTTCACCAACGCAAACGGCACTGGTTTGCAACTGGTTCCAACTAGGCTACCAAACGGTGACATCGCTTTGGTACTTCCGGCGGGAGCAAAGACGGCACCGGTTACATCACCGTCGTCGTCGCCGGCACCGAGCTCACCGCTACCGACCCTGATCCCAATTCCTCAGAGAACCGCCAGCACTGCGTCTGCGTCATCGTCGACCTCGTCCAACAGCTCGACGTCCACGTCAGCGGGAAGCCCGGTGGCGTTCGAAGCACCTCCGACGTTCCGCGAGCAGTCTACCGCTTACAGTCCGGCCAACAGCCACAGAGACGTCGCGACATCCCCGGCGAACGGTTACACCAGTGATCCGGAATTCGACCCACGTGTCTACAGCCCTCCCCTTCAGAAACCACTAGCGCTAGTGATGAGGAAGAGCGTTGTGCCACCCGTCGAGGATAAGCCGTGGAGACCGTGGTAAAAAATAAAAAAAAATAAAAAATGGACGGCTGTGGGGATGATTATAGAAGTGATGATAATTGAAACTGATTTTGTGTCGAGATGGTAATCCGCGGTCGATCAACCGCAAATGAGAACTTATCGATTTATTGTGACAAATTTACGCGCCGATTAAAAGATTTCGCGAAGAACGGAAACATGTTCCTCAAGTATGTAAATTGTTGTAGATAAGCGCGAGTCCCGTTCGCACGACACCGCGAAATTAGAGGGTTCATTGGAAGACGCGAGTTTATTTCCGAGTGCACGTGCACGGTCGGCCAGTAGCCAATGAGATAGTGCCTTGTTAATAGTGCCTTGTAAATATACGTTAAAAAAAAAAAAAAAATGTAATGTGTATCTCAAACCAAGCACATTTTCTTTCTAAGATATCGCGTCGATCTCCTTTTCCTTTTGTTTCAATATTTCGCATTACTTTTGTCTCATTATCTCTTCTTAACAATTCCTTCTGTATATATGTCACACGTATATGTATATTATATTTTAAGTGCCTTATGCAACAAGAATCACTGACGTCTTCCATTCTGTTTCTTGTATGTAAAATCGTAAACGATTTGTAGCAGTATCGTTGTGAAAGAACATTGAATTGGTTTTTTTCGACGATACACAATTTTAGGCTTATTATTATAAGTTAGAAAGTCACGAGAGAGAGAGAGAGAGAGAGAGAGAGAGAGAGAGAGAGAGANGAGAGAGAGAGAGAGAGAGAGAGAGAGAGAGAGAGAGAGAAAGAGAAAGAGAGAGAGAGAGAGAGAGAATGTGTGTGTGCAAGAGCGGGAGATGTGTATATATATGAGAAAGAAGAGTATAATTATTTATATTTATACGAGAGTGTGGAAGGAAATTATGTACATTTGTAATTCCTCTTATGAGAACGGACAACCAACGCTTATTACTGCAAGAGCATCAAATAAATGATCTCTGTTTCACTAAGTAATTTTTGTGTGTCGTAATATTACCAATCGTCTATTTTCCTCAATCCATATATCCTATATATATATATATATTTGCATCTTATCTAGTAATTGTTTCATATGTTTCTTTTACTTAATAAATTAAAATATCTTGTCTTAATATAAATATTTGAAAAAACTGCGTTTTGTGCGCAATGAAAGTTCAAGTACATAATATCTATAACACAATGCGGGAAGCAAACTGCACACATCGGAGCCTTGTGCGTCCAACTCGCTGCAGATCTGAAATGAGACTGATCGTTAGCAGCGCGACTCCTCCGCTGTAGTGCTGCCATCTGACGATAAAAACGACGTTACAACCGAGAACCTGATCCCAGCGAGATGACTGCTTCGTCTGATCAGGCCGAAAAAATTCGTTCCCTCCATCGTCTTTGCCTAAATTATCGAGCGCCAGACTTTGCTGCCTTCTGGTGGGGTTTGACGGAACCTTCAGGACTTTAAGGACCTCAAAGGAACCGAATCCTTTTCTCATCCGATAATAAGGAATGGCGAACACTGTGTTTTTGTAATTTTATATACTATCACAATAAAAAAAAAAAATGGATATCTACTCGTTTCTCGAATACCCATTTTCTAGTTTTCATTAAGACGACTGATTGAATTATAAAATCATTACGCCAAAAGAAAGAAATAACTACCTGTATTTTACGAACAATGAATTACATAAAGTTGTATTGCCGTTCTCCGAGATATTAAGTCGAAGAATGCAGATTAAATCGAGCGCCACCGAATCTAATCTCTAAACTAGACCCCTAGAGCAAATCGCGATAGTTGATTACTTCGCTTTCTCTCGCGACCGGGTGTACGTAGTAATTTTCCAGAGAACAGTCGACGCTCGCGCTTGCTGCACACCAGTTTAAAGTAGATAAGACCGTCTCCGGACAGTTAACGACGTATACGTTTAAATGTTGCTCCCGACGGTCACGCGCATTTCGCAGCTCGCTCGTAAATTTGACTTCGTTATATTTCCACAGCTACACCCAACCACAAGTCTGTCTCTCTGAAACGTGTTCGCAACTGCGTTGATTTCGTTAATGTGTTTTGCATTTTAGGAAGAGAGAAAGAAAAACAGAAAGAAAGAAAGAAAGAGAGAGGGAGAGAGAGAGAGAGAGAGAGAGAATCATGTAAGAAACAAAACGTTCATTCTACAAATGAATATTTTGGCAGAGAAGCAAAGTACAGACATTTTCGAACATTAAGAAACATACGCAGCGTGATTTTCGCGAAAACCGCGAAGCCTAAATTACTATAATGTTTTCTCTTCCGCGAGCAATGGCAGTCCCAGTGCGGTAATTTGCGAGGCAAAAGTGGTAGGGCCACGACGCCACACGCAAAACAACACGCCGAATGACAAATTGTATAGTGCCTTTCTTTCCTTCGTGATATTCACGACGTAATTCGCCTCTTGTAGGCGCGCTCGAGACCAAGCTTTTACCATTTCGAGTTAGTTTTTGTGTGTGATTACCGGAAAGATTTGTATTTACTGTTCGCAATTACGCGAAAGCGCATTTTTCGAGACAACCACAGACACAGTTCACGTAACATTTAACGATATTGACTAATTATACAAAAACTTGCACGCTCGTATTATAGTTGTAATAGAAACGAAAGTTAGAGTGCCTTGTGTGTATTCGTGACTCGCTTCATTAAAGAATACAAGAAATTATTATCAATATTTCAGATTTTACCTCCGTATTCCGGTCTTGATTAACAACGAATCCAGAGTCTCGCGCTCTCTCGATCTGACATACGCATTAGAATCGTGTTTATCTGTGACTAGCCCGTTCTGTTATCTACAGTTACGTAAACGCTCTAATAAACAAGTCTCTCGCGAGACTTACATATCTGCGCGAACTCCTGCGCACACTCTAATAGAAAGAAGAATGTGACCTCCACACACGGAGGTCACGATGGGACACACACACACACACAATTTTTGCAATGACGAGCGTCCCCCGAACGAGAGAACACAAATTTCATCGTCCCGCATAATTGCGTTCCTATGTTTCTTTTTTTGTGTTTTTCGTCGCCCGCGGGCGTCTATAGGTCTGACGGTCATTAGGATGACAATTGTTGGGAATTGCAACCCCGAGCGATTTAATTTATATCAAATCCATCTTGCCTCCACTAATTCCGCACATCAAACGTTATTTGGGATCACGCGAAAAACTTGCATTCGTCTGCGGCGAGGATCCGCGCGCGCAGCAGCGGACCGTTTAGTTTTTTTCGGCGAAAAAATTATCATAATGTGGTCATTAATCTTGCGGCGAAAGGAGCGACAAAAGTCGAAAATTTCTCGGAGAAGAATTTTTTCGACTCGCCGGTCGTGAATTTGCGTCGAACATTATCTTCGCATTAGTAGAAAATATTCGCGCTCGCTCGCGTTCACATCTAAGAAACGTAACGCGCGCACGTCAAGAACATATACAATTGACCTATAACGAACGATCGAGACGGAAGCGAAGACCTCGCGTCGCACGCAATTATTATCAGGCGATAACACACCTATTGCGATCATCATAGTTAATTATCGAACGTAAGAAGCGAAAATTACATCACGTTATCAAACTCTCTGTCGACTTGTTAACCCGTGCTGGTTTTTCCTCATACACATTTTAATTTCAAATGTCTCGATGTAAATGAGCAAAAAAACAAATTACCTAAAATAACAAATGCAAATTGTGCGTTTGCATCTAAATATGCAAAATCCGATTATTTAATTCAATTCCAGGTAATATACGTAATAAGTCTATCTTCAGATTACTATCAAATATAATTGTAAGTCGTGTGGTGGTTTTTCCCGAGAAAACGCTCGCGCGCGTATGTACTTCCGTTAGAACGCGAAATCTGATTTCGTCCAATTAATAACACGGAGTGTTCGATTTTTCTTCCGAACGACCTGTTTCAGAAATTCTCCAATTGACCGCCAATCGTGATTGATGCAAGTGTGTGTTTGCTCGTTACTCCAACTTGACTCCATGTATACACGCGTCGCGGTCGCGTGGTTTCAAGGATACGGCAAGGTTGACACGCGCCGCTACTTGCCAAGCTACGACTGGTGAGAGGATTTGTACAATCTCGCTCGCGCTATTTCAACGTGGTATTTCGCTTCACATGAGCCACGATCGCAGCATCTTAATGACTTTGGTAAATTTAACATAAATTTTTTTATGCTTTACGAATTCTCAGAATTTCGAGTGTTGATTCGAGAAATCAATAAAAGCATTTTTTAGCGCAACGTTATATAAATGTTAAAATTAATGTAATATAATATAATATAATATAATATAATATATAATATATATAATATATAATATAATATATAATATATATAATATATAATAT